TTATCCTGCTTTACTTTAAAAACTTTATGTTCAAAATTGTTATTAATTAAAAACGCCACCCCTCTTGAATTAGAAGAAAAAGAACTAAAATAACATTCATATCCCCATTCTGACCTTATTCTGTCTTCAGTCTGCTTTGTGAAGTGAGTATCTTGAATACAATAAATGCTATATTTCTTACCTCTTAAGTATGCAAAAAGATCTTTTCGTTTGTTTCTATCACCAAGACCCTGACAATTTGCTGAGAGTATATCAATTGTGTCCACCCCCCTTTTTGTCGATGTATATTACAAGAGACCACTTACTTAAGATGAACCATGTGTTGTTTCTAACATTGTTATAAAATAAGGATAACTTTAGAGCACTAACCAGGAGAAAGACATGCACAAAAATAACATTTGTATAAAGGACATGACATACATTACAACATACTACAATTATGCTTAAAAATAGCTCCTTAGATAGCATTGGTTTAATTTGCAGCTACATTTAAACTGATAAGTGTTGGATCAATAATATATCCGAGCTTTCATAATCAGCCACCACCTGGTTATTTGATAAGTGTTAAGTTCTATTTACAACTTTATACAACTCGTCTAAGTACTGTTTCATTATACCTGTGCTCTGCCTGCTGCCGGCAATAATCCTCTCCAGTACGGGCTGTGAATGACTGTAGGCCTAGTTTCGTTTTCTAAATATAGATGTGTTACCCACAATCCCTGGTTTGTTTCCGGTTAGAGTGTTCACGAGTTTATGTAACAGTTTGTATTTTGATATTTTTTATGAAAAGTCTTACTAGCCTAGTGCATGTCAAGTCTCTTCACGACAAAGAAATATGACATTCATAAATAAATATTGGTAACTTGAATGGAATCATATATTGTCATATTTTTCTAAGGGACAATACATTGCAGTGACGTAAGGTATAGGGGAGATAATTCTACCGTGCAGCAGGCAAAGCATCAAGACAAAACATTCAACACATAATCATATACACATTGATTATCGCTAAACAGTTTGATTATACATATTCATCATTCAGGATACAGGTGTTCAACAAGATGTTTAATTTACAATTTCATATACTTAACCTATAGATAGAAGAATAGCACACACTTAAAAATATAAATGCATCCTCTTTGCATACAAATACTGATAGTGGAGTAAAGAAAACTGATATCAATTGTTGTGTTTCGACCTCGTCTATATATACAAATATACTAGGGGGGGGGGTATATATGTTATATATATAAATATAAATTTTCTGTACATCATGCTAACACCTGTTCATGTAAATGGCAGTATAGACTATATACTAGAGGGATAGGGGCAGGCAAGATGGTAGGTATATATGTTATATATATATATAAATATATGTATACCAAGCTAACAACACCTGTTTAGCTAACTAACATATTTGCATACAGATAGTGATATTGGAGTAAAGGAACCAACATACAACTGATTGATTGCTAATTGACCACAGTTATATTATAGAGGGGGGAGGGGGGAGGATGGTTTATGTTATATATATATGTTTATATATGGTACATCGATCATATTCTGTTTCAGCTAATTAGCATATTTAACAATAAAGGATGGTAGACAATACACTCTCAAAAACTAAGAAGGAATAAATCATATTATACGTATATGCATATAAAGGAATACAATGTCACAATCACTCTCGTTGTGGGAACTATCTATTTTGGTTTTGGTTTTACCTTGCTCAGCTTGTCATCCAAGTTGTCATAAATGTCAAACATCTTTCTGTCACCATTTACTGTTTTGCCGTACACTCGCGAGTTAAAGTACCAGGCCGACTCGATACGCGCATCCTGGTATAGCTTCTGTATACTCAATGTTGAGTTTTGTTACGTCCTCGCGTAATGTGAGGGTCAATCTACAGTTTTTGGCCTTGCGAGTCCTCATCACATGATGCTTTATGTCGTTGCGAGCGAACTTAACAAGCACTGGTTTAGTCTTCCTGGAATTCTTGGATGGGATCCTATGACAGGCCAGTATCTCCCAGGGCTTGATCTCAATCTTCGCTTCCTGTCTAAGCTTTTCACAGAAAGCTTTCTCTAGGTCCTGGTCTGGTATTCTGTCATCCATGTTCATCACCTTGATGGTAGATTTCCTACTATACTGCTCGTTGTAGTTGGCCATGGACATTGCCTGATGTGCTAGTCTGCTGGACGTGGCCTGCTTAGCAGTTGATGTCTGTATTTCTTTTCTCTGTTGGACCACCATTTCCTTCAGTCTCTCTTTCTCCAAGTTAAGCCTGTCTATCTCTCTGCGTATCTCACTTGTCTTCTTTTGCACCTCATCGTGAATATCTTTTGAAATTGTCTCTTTCAAGTTTTGGAATATACCATTAACAATGTCTGTCACAATCTCTTTGAGGTCCTCAGTCTTTACCATATTGGTCATGATTGTTTCTAGTTTTTCACTGATTTCGTCCTGGAATACACCATTTTCAGCTGATGATCCTTCACTGTCTGTGCTAGAAGTAGTTATTCTAGATCTCTTTTTATCTGGCTGGGGAACAGGAGACTCCTTGGTCTTGTTGGCTGGAGTTTCCTTACTCATGTTGATAGTAGTGTCTGTCACTATATCAGCCTGTATGTGAGTGGTACTGCTCAGTATATGTAGTACAGGTAAGGCCTGCTACACTTATGCAGGTGTCTCTTGTACAGGTAGATAATCCCTGAAAACCACTCACGTATGGCTAGAACTCCAGTGAAATTTGCCATGCAAAAATGCAAAATGCACCAAATTGCAAATTTCACAAATGGATTTACAAGTCCAATGTAATAGGATTGTCTAGGACAATGTCGTCCACATCTCCATATAAAAATGTTTGGAATGCTCCTGATATAAGCCTATGTAAATCACCAAACTTATCAGAGCTACAAACTACAAACCACTCAGGTAAGAAGCCATTTTTTTTCCTCGTTTCAAAATTTATTACTATGTCCTCCCTCCCTGTTTGCCCGCCCTTCTGCCCCCAGGGGGTCCACACTTTCCGTTTACACAACAGTTGAGATACCTTTGCCAAAGGACCAGGTGAGCTAATAAAACAAGATACATGATGTCAATCCAATTCCAAAGTTTATTTACAAACCTTTTGTATATCAATCAAATTCTGTTAAATGTGAATGTACATATATCAAATACCGTAAAACCCCTTATAATAACCCATGTAATACGTGCATGTACATTTTTGGGCTAAAAAAACTTCTACTTTTCTGTTTAGAGCATCAATATTTCCCCTAAATAATATTCCTCCAAAATGCCCAGGAAAATTGACCTCCGACACAAAACTTCAACACACATATCTACGTTCTCATTTAATTTATTAATTAAATCTGTTGTTTGGTTATAAATTTAATGACGTCAGATCTTTATGCAGATGCATATCGATGTACGTTTGTTTTTAAAGTACGCGGTAACATCAGGTTGAGTATGTGTGGACATAAACCTTCACGTCCTACACAAACCTTCACAAGTTATGTGTCTGGTAGTAATCACAGGTGAATATCTCCAGTTGAAAGCTATTATTAGACACCTATAATGACCCTTAAAACCTTATAACATTCTTTCTTTTATTTATTGCGTGTAACTGTTGTCTTTTGTATCATTTCTACAGCCCATATTTAAAAAATATATATAATTAACTTTACAACCACACGTATTTAACCTTAGCCCTTACCTTTAAATAAGATATAGTGCCTGATGAATTATTAAGGGTATCCGTTATTAAACCTAGTACCTTGTTAATGATCCCTTTGATGGACCACTGACCAACATTATCAAGGGCTTTCAAGCGACGATTCAGTAGTTTCACGTTTTGATGAAGTAACTAAGTGATCGGAATGTCCTGGTCACCATGGGTCAAAATGACCGAAGATTAGACTGACTTTGTACGAAAAAAAATGGTTGTAACCATTTATATGTTATAACTTGTATTGAACCTGAACAATCGTTGGCGCAAAAATGTCTAAACGTTTTTATATTGTCATTATACTTTATTAAAAGCTTTCATTAATATTTCTTTTGAACTGAGACCTAGTCTCTTAATTTATTTTATGTCAATGAACATTGAATTTCATTTTAAAATGTGTATGCATTGTTATTATATAAAATAACAAAAATGCAATAAATAAAACGTTGTATATATCTTATCACCTAAGTCAGGATTTATTTCAATGGTAGTTGTTATTTCCTACTAAATGCTAATCATTTCGTTCATCCATGTGAGAGAGGCACGAGTTCAGTTCCCAGGCTTGGACATTATACCAAATTTCTTAATATTCAGCTTTTGTCAGTAAAATGTTACCGGGCCGATTGCTATGCTGGATGCCTTTGGCATGAGTTTTTCAACGCGAATGCACATTTAAGTCAGCCTCAGATCTGCAGTGGCAAACACATCAACATACTATGTCCTGAGCACACATACACGCATACAAGATTCACATGATGGCACGTTCTTAAATGACCTTAACTGTTGATAGGACGTTAAACCCTTAAGAGGCCAAGACGGCCTGTATCGCTCACCTGGGCTGGATATGTTTTAAGATTTAAAGTAAAGATATAGCACTCCATGGTAGTAATGTATGTACAAATGAAATTTCAGAAAGATCCATCCAGTATTTCTGGAGATATAGCCAGAACAAACTTCAAATGTCAAAATCCAAGATGGCAGCCTGTTAGCCATCTAGTTTTAACGAAAACACCCTGATAGTAACAGGCACTATTAGACACTTGATGGAGACAAAATTGGGATAAAATCCTGTAATCCCTATGAAAGAAGAAGGATTTCAATGGTTCTACCTCTATTTCCCCTATTGGGCCCCACCCCTTTGCCCTTAAGACCACACCCACCGTTTATGCAAAATTGTGTCCCCTTGGCCTAAGGATGCTCCAGACCAAATTGGGATAAAATCCATTCATCCGTATGGTAGAAGAATTTTAAATGTATACCTTTGTTTCCCTATTCGGCACACCTCTGCCCCTAGGGGGGCAACATCCATCGTTTATACAAAATTGAGTCCCATTGGCCCATGGATGTTTTAGACTAAATAGGGATAAAATCCATTTATTTCTATGGTAGACGGATTTAAAATTTCCACTTCTATTTCCCATTTGGGGCCCCTCTCCTCTCCCCCAACGGGGCCGAGCCCACCGTTTATACAAAATTGAATGTCCTTGGCGAAAGGATGCTCAAGACCAAATTAGGATGAAAGGTAGAAGAAGAATTTAAAGGTTTACCTCTATTTTCCTTATTGGACCCACCCCTCTGCCCTCAGGGAGGCCACACCCACCGTTTATACAAAATTGAGTGCCCTTGGACTAAGGATGTTCCTGGCCAAATTGGGATGAAATCCCGTAATCCGTATTGAAGAAGACATTTTTTAAAGGTTTACCTTTAATTACCCTATTCGACCCCACACCTCTGCCCCCAGGGGGCCACACCCCACCGTTTATACAAAATTGAGTCCCATTGGTCCAAGGAGGCTTCAGAGTATATGAGAAGAAGACGGTTTTAAAAGTTTTACCTCTATTTCACCTATTGGACCCCTCTCCTCTGCCCCAAGGGCCTCACTCACTGTTTATACAAAATTGAATGTGTTTTCTTCTATTTTTTCAGTAATCAAAACTGATGGGATCTATTTATTTTTTGTCCATACCCTATTCTTTCTCTTCAATGGTGTCTCATCTGGCACACATAGCGTTTTCCCTGCAATTCGATAGTGATTGTAAACGCATATAAATAACTGATGTTTGAAAAAAGGCTATGTATACTATTATCTTTTATATGTAGAGCTGTAACAGATACCTAAGTTAAAATCCTGTAGATTTGAGTTTTCTTCTTCCTTTTTTTACAAACGGGACCTAAGTGAGACCAAAATTTATCATCTGCCCCCCCCCCCCCCCCCTTGCAACGCGTGTGACTCTTTCTCCTTATCTTTCTTATCTACCTTTCTTTCTTTCCATCGTTATTGCTCATATATTGTTGATGATTATCTGGGTCATATTACATGGGTTAATACGCAAACCTTTATTTATGACACGGGTATATTCACTGGATAACACAATACATTATGTGATAAAAAAACATTCATCTTATAATGCTACTTATATCTCCAACGTCTAACTTCACTTGATCCTTGTTTTTTCTTATCACTATCGCTGGACCGAACGCTCACTTTTATAGCGATGTCCCGCGACGTTAATGGTGCTTCGGGTGATCCAGATACATGCTCAGTATTTACTGAAGGGTCTTCCAGTGTTAATGTTTGAGCCCCTGCCATCGATTGCTCCGGTTTCGATTTCGCATTATCTATTTCGCGATTCTGTTCTCTTTCTCTTTGCAATTGGTTTTCTAAATATTCAATCTTACTTTCAAGAGCGTTTATTTGTTTCTGATATTGTCTTTCTTTTTCTCGAGTGATTTCTTCTTCTGCTGAAGCATCTCGTTGCATCTTCTCTATTTGTTGCCTCATAGCTGCTATTTCGTCATTGTGTCTTATGTTAAGGCCCTCCATCTTCTCGGACAAACCTGAAAATCATAAAGATGCGTTATATATGTCTGAATTCATTTTCGTTCTACATATATGTTCCCCAAGGTCGAGAATCGAAAAGGAATATATCTGCTGTTACCCACCGCATGATCGTAAGGGACGCCTAATGTTGGGACCTTCTGCATATTTGGGCTCGAAGATTTACCAAAAAACAACCAAAACACCCAAATCCACCCAAAAACACATCCCGAACCAATAAATGATTTAATTAATAAGACATTTGACGTTTTGCATGTTTGTTAGTTTTAAAATAAATATCAGTAGAAAAAAACGACTATTCTTTGACAATTATGATGTATGCAATACCCTATATTTTAACATTTATGTACTGTATACATGTCATTGCATCGAACTATATTGATATATCATGTTGTAGAATTCTGTATTATATAGATTTTTATTTTAGTTTACTGTATAATTTCTAATATATAGGCTGTAGGTCATTCCGGTATACTTTATGTCATTTTGGCAGGTGTGATGAAAGTTAAATGGATTTTTTTAAAAATTTAGTCAATTATATATCCAATCACATGTAGATTATGTACATGTGTTTTAATCGTTTGGTACATTTTCTTTCCGTTCGTAACGATTTAATTCCCCCATCCCCAAAGCATTCAACTTTGCATAATGTAACTGGTTGGAATACTTTGTTAGCCGCCTTCGGCACGTTATATCTGTAAATTCAGATCCTCATCATACCATCACTCCAGCAACATATATTACACACAAGGAGGCACGTTCTTCATAATAACAAAACCGAATAACCTATAAGAAGCCGACGTAGAAACAAGAGAGGTAGTATTGTAGAAATAGGTCATTTGTGTTACAATGGGGTTCTTGTAGTAGCAGTAAGACATTTGTAGCTTTAGCAATCTTCAATAATTATGTATATCAGAAAAAAAACTTCCATTCTACATATTAGGTTTATTAGGTTAAGCATCCTATTTAAATCTATTCATGTGCAAGCTGGAAGCGGTATGTTGGTACAAACATACAATGGGATACATCAGGTATATCATTCTTTAACTTGAACATTAACAAAGGTCACATACTTAAGAAATTGCTCACCTGTAATAATGGCGTTTTGTGTTTCTGCCCAATGCCGCATTTGTTCCTTAAGTTCTACAAGAATAAATATAGCAAATAAATATTAAGCAAAAAGAAAGCACCGTGATGCAATTTGTTTGCAGACATTTACATCGCAAGAGCTTGAGCCGATACTGATACTTTCGATTTATCATAGACTATAAAACTTCGACGGGGCTAATGGTTTTATTGCGTTTATATATTATTGTCATTATATTTCTTCCGGGCGATTTCTCTGATAACAATACGATACTTATTGTCACGTATGCATATATGTTTAATTTTTAACCTAAAAGACTATTGTGTGTAATAATGTCACGTGGTGAGTATGTAAGTAAGCAAGTTTGTGAAAGATTGAGCGTTCATGTGAGAACGAACGTGGAATTATCATTGTCCACTTGTCGGATAGTTTTGTAACCATTTCTACCGGGATTGTATCCATGTATTCTTTCTATCCCTCCGTAATTTGCTGTCGTAATGGTGGTTTTATGCCATATTTATTGTGACTCTATTACCGGTCTAGCCATCTATCTATCGCTGCGGTCCATTCATGCGTAACGATTTGTGTTGTTGAAGGCAGGCGTAAGTCTAAAATTACCGACTTTTGATGAACGTAAAGACAACATGGACGCCTACATACAGAGGTATGAGAGATCCGCTACAGCTCGGCATTGGAAGAGGGATGACTGGGAGCGATTCAAAGCGCATTATTGAAAGGAAAGTTGAAGTTTGAGGTACCCGGAGGCGGTAGCGCTAAAAGGGATCGAGACCGAAAGGGTAGCTGAGAGATATTTAGTCGTGTTGGAGTATCTACCAAGATGCTTACAGACCAAGTCGCACAGTTCACACCGAACCTGATGAATGAGGTCAGCAGGTGTCTGTCGATCCGCCAATTAACAACGACGTATAACCATCCGATATGCAATGGTCTAGATAAGCGTTCCAATGGCACCACGAAGCAGATTCTGAGGAAAATGAGTGCAGTGAGACCCAAGGATTCAGATCGATATCTAAACTTCTTCCTGTTTGCTTATCGGGAATTACCACAGGGGAGTCTGGGTTTCTCACCTTTAGAAATGCTGTATGGCATCACATTAGCATTGTTGAATATCTAACCATGGCCGCAATGCTTGCCTGATGATTGGTCCGACACATTTCGCGATGTAATTAGATGCCAACTGTCCATATCCTGGTGTGACCTTATACTTTGTCGCAAAATCTGGTATCTATCGTCATTATTCGCTGACTTCTGGTTCCACTTCCATACAGTGTTTCATTATATAACACTATGTGTTGGTTTTATAGGGTTTAATGTCTGTTCTACTTGTTGCACATGAATCTAAATAGGGTTGAGTATTTTATTCGTTTTGATGAAGTTGTTATAGAAGGCCTAATATAAAATACAGCTACAAGCAAAATATCAATGTTTGATTCAAAAGAATCTATGAAAAGATTCAAGCATATGACACCTGTGACCTTGAAAGCCAATCAGATACATTAAGTTGAAACTGACTTTATAGCCTTTCATCCCAGTACGCTTCTGGCCAAATAGCATTACCCAGGACCATTTGGTTATTCAGAAGTTAAAAGGTTTCAACATATTTGACCCCTGTGATCTTGAAAATTGGCGAAGGTCATTTATTTGAACAAAGTTGGTTACCCTTCATCCAAGCATGATTCTGGCAAAAACATATTTGACGCCTGTGATCTTGATTGTAAGTCAAAATCATTCATTTGAACAAACTTGGTAGCCATTCATCCCAGCAGGTTACTGGCCCAATATCAACATACTAGGCCTCTTGGTTTTTTACAATTTGCTTAAAGGATTTTAAACATATTTGACCCATATAAGAAGGAAATGGACGTGCAGTGGGGGAGCATTATTTCTGTAACACTTTTTGGTATGGAAATACATAATAATGTCAAAACGTTGTCTCCATCTGTAGAAGGCCCCCTTTACGTGGATGACGTTCGTATATGCTATCGCTAACATGAATGCTATTGAAAGAAAGACAACTTCAACAATGATTAAAGGGACATCACGTGAAGAGCCATCTATTTTTTTTAATGAAGGTATGTATTGTATGCACTTCCACTTCATAGTCCGTTCCAAATGTCCAGTTTGACCACTTGAATTGTTCGGGAAAGCCCTGCTAAAAATAGCGCCGATAACGTCACCTGACTAGGCAGTAAACACGAGCGGTCTGGGCGAGATGAAACGGTTTTCAAAGGGACCCCCAGAGAGGGGCGTCAGGCAACTGCAACTTTTTACCGCACTATGAAACCAAGTAATATGATTTCTAAGTCCGTTTTAAAACTTATTGAACAATACTTATTTATCATCAGAAGTTAATTGCACACTTGCCAATAATCAGAATTTAAATTTATTTAGCTTTAAATATATTTCTAAACATTGCTGCCAATAAAATTGAACAAGGGATGGGGCACACGTTTTTACAATTTATCACATTTATCCGTGACGTGCTCCATGATTATCTTAGATTTAATCATTTTAATGAATCTATTTCAGCCAAATCCGATCGTTATTTTCCATTAGGAGTCTTACTTGATATGTTTATGTAGTATTTGAAAAAAAGACAAAACATAGTTACTTCAGCGTGATGCCCCTTTAAATATACTTCAAATCTGGGCTGATTAAAACGGTTTTAAATTCTCAAAATCAAAAACAGTGTGCATGTATTTTTGTCAATTACATTAAATCAACGATGTTCCGAAACTCATCCTTGATCGCTACTTTAACAAACTAAATTCCTAGACGTTATATTTAAATTAATAGAAAGTTGTCATTCCTTCCTCACATAAAATATCGTATCAAAATGCATGAACGCATTGAACTTTTAAAAAGTCCTCTCCCAAATCGACTAGGGAACTGATAAGAAGATGTAAGATCTTAATTTGACTATGGATCAAATCCACAAGAAATCATATTTAAAATTACTGGACACTATACATCACCAGGGTCTGAAACTAACACCTGGAGCGTTAAAGACCACACCATCTCCACGTTTTTACGTTGAATTATATTTGCAGCTCACTTTCAATTGCTATTTTGTTTCGTTGATCTTTTCGCATTTCCTGCTTCTGAAGGATGTTGGCATACGAGAATAGGCTCCGTAGGATAGGATCTCGGATAGAAAATATAATCATTCTCTAGGCTGCCTGTACACCGGACCTTAGACAACACTCTCAACTTTAAACTTTTAATCATATTTAAAATTACTGGACACAGTATATCACACAAGTCTGAGACTTGCATTTGGAGCGTTTTAAATCAAACCATCTGCAGGTCTGTACCTTGAAGCAAACCAACTATCATTATATAACCGCCAAGGGGAATTATCGTTGCAACATGCAGTTTAATCAAAGCCAAACTGTTTAAATCTAACCTCTTCATTGTTTCCAATCCAAAGTACAAATCTATGTGTCAAATTAACCATGCTGTATTCCAATCTTTGGTATTCGAATTGCATCCCTTCTGGAGAATGCCCAAATTGATATCGACACAATCCAATAATTTGGGGTTATACTGGAATCAGTTCGTCCGTCTGACTGTATGTTACTGAAATGGCTAATTATCGCAGAAATGGTAGGTATTTTGTATACACATACCTTGGAGTATATGTAGCATTAATGCAAGCTACATTGTTACAAAATTTATGGTCAGGGGTCAATGATCACAGTAGTAGTTTTGTCAACATCTTAGGTTAAGACTTTTCATGCCCCTATAGGGACAACAATCAGCCAGAATGTGGGGTTATTTGTAAGCCCCCATAGGGACAAGTTTTAGTTTTATAATGACGGTTCGAAAGATGATTATAAAGTTGCCGCGGCCACTGTAGTGAAAGGTACTACTATTGGAAGCCGGCTGACGAATGATGCGTCAATATTTTTCGCATTTATCTCGGCCTTGAGCATATTAATACAAATTATGTTCCGCAGTCAGTTATCTTTCCTGATTCTCTATCTGTTCTTCACCACAACAATTTGAAAAGACATGTTTTTTTCAGGTTTAATAGAATAAAATATGTTGTCCACGCATTGATTCCAATTATTTTGCCATTGCGATCTTATAAATTTTGTTTTAAAAACAGTGAAATAGAGTTTCAAATTAACAGGTGGTAGCAATAATGCTGCTTTCGCGGCACCATCTGTCTCAAAAATAATATCTGACATGGGAATACTTGGGATCGAACAGATAAAGGAACGGTGCCAATAATTCAATGTTGGGATCGTTCCTGTTCTGTTACGTCCTTAAATGACTTTAGTTGTTGACAGGACGTTAAATACTCCACAAAAAACCAGCCATTTCTGTTCTCTGCTACCTATCGTTTCTTCTTGTAAGTGTTCATGAAGGCACTTGTCATCATAAGACCTTTGTTTTCGATTTAAGCAGTTTAACGAGGATCTAAGGAGAACGTCTCTTTGGGCAGATAAATGGGGAATAAGATTTAACCTAAGTTAAACTGAATCATTATTAATGTCTAATAAAAATAATTCTGATATCTCACCCCATTTGATATTTTCAAATAGTGTTCTTATAAATTTTAAAACTCATAAACATTTTTTGTTTGTTTCAATAGTCGCAAATCATTGTAAGATCATGTTAATTATGTATATGAAAAAAGCTGTACAAAATTACAAATAATGCGAATGCTGAAACACAAGCTAGATAGAAAGTCTCTTAAAACTATTTATACGTCTTTTACACTAGAATATTATTGTGCTGTGTGGAATAATTGCACCAAGGGTGAAAGTGATTTACTGGAATCAGTTTAATTCGAATGTTTCAGAATTATATCGGGTTTGAGAAGAGATACAAGTCATAACTTAATATATTGAAGTTGGTCTAGGTACATCAAAACAAGACATGATATCTATCAATGTATGTTAATTTTCAAGGTACTGTCCTGGCCATCTTTTATTATTTTAATAGTGATATAAATTAGCCTTAGATTTCAAAGACATTTTTTGTTCCTTTGTGCTGAACCAACTTGTATAAAAATAGTTTTTTTCCTAGCACGATGTCTTTATGGAATAAGCCAGACTGTATTTTTCCAACACTCACTCTATTGGGTCAGTTAAAACTGGAATTAATTAAGGAAAGCACAGACATATTACAACCAAAAAAATCCCTCTGGCGTAGGTGACTGTCAAACTCGTATCACTGGATATGTGTGTGCTGCCCCATGTGTGTCAGACTGGAATTCTTTAGATGAGGAAACTATTGACATGATGCGCCAATTAGCAGAATTTTAAAGGATAACTTGGTCATCGGATGAGGATGAGCCCTTGTGTGACATTATCCCATTAAACAAAAGAACAAACTTACATAACAGTGACATTGCAAACTTTTCAAACGATGTTTTAATGTCTTTGTTTAGCGTCGGAAATCGTAAAATGTATTGATTTTAAAAAAAGGGTTATTTCCCCCGTTGTTTTTTTTTTTTAAAAAATGACAGTTAAACAAAATGTATACAGTTTTTATTTCTTTTTGCATTTGATGTTACAGTAAACCAAAATGACTTTTTTAAGAAATGTGTCAGGTCCATTTTTCCTGTTGTCAAAATTGAATGATTTGTTATTTTGAAGTGTAATGCTTTTTTCAAAATATCAAGATTTCATGCCCAATTTGATTATAGTATTAATGTATACATATATGTCATTGTAAATAATCATTATATATGCTCCAGGTAGTATTCGCCACTCAACTCCAACCAAACAATCCAATTGACGCGTATCCAAGTGTTTTTCAAGGATAACGATGCTAAGGTAAGCCTTACAAGATAAGTGTGGACACATCTGTCAAGCCTTTGGTCGACCCACCACGCAGCGTTCCAGCAACTGTCCGTGAGAAACTCAGAATTTCACTTGATCAAAGGGAACGAAAGAATGTCACTAGAAAAATTGATCACCCGACTGAATGGGTCAATTCGCTTGTGGAAAAGAAAATTGGGAAAACTATGCATATGTCTAGACCCAAAGAGCCTAAACCAAGAGAAAGAGAACATTATCAATTACAAACTATTGAGGAAGTTGTGTCAAATGCAAAAGTAAGCTCGACAAAGAAAGTCAGGAACTCACAACGTTTAACACACCTTTTGGCTGTTACTGTTACACACGGATGCCTTCCGGCATAAAATCACCCCAGGCGGTTTTCCAGAACGAGTAAGCCAACCTTTCGATGATGTCAAAGGTGTGTCAACAGACATTGACGATATCCTAGTGTGGGGAGAGACTGAAACTGAACATGATGAAAAACCTAAAACGAGTGTTGGATAGATGCCAAGAAAATGGCCTGACCTAAAATGTCAATTCCGTGTGAAAGAGGTCATCAACATAGAGTTACTATTTATACTATTATTTATGTAAGAAAAACACACCACATTCTCTGTAGTGGGCTAACTCGGGACCATTACATTACTGATCCGACACACTACCGTTGTCATAAATAAAAGTATTGATAGTTATTCTAAATCCTAAACAAATAATACTCTTTACCTAAAGACCATTATATGATTTCAACCAATGAAAACATTGGTAGGCGGGTCCTTCTCCGTGACGTTCTTGACGTTACATTTTCCGAACCAAATGACAACAGTGCAAATGGCCACTGATGAAGGCCGTTTTGTTGTTGAAAAGAGGTGTTACATCAGATTTTGGACGCTAAACGTAGCTTAAATACAACAAGCAAATTCGTGGAATGTTTGAGGTTAGATTTAAACATGTGAGAATCGTGCTGTTGAGACATAATGTATAGCTTGAAACTTGAATAAAAAAATCCACCCTATACGTCATTGATTATCCGTAAATATGCGCAAATCACATTGGTTGGCAAACTTAGCATGAGGAATATGGTTGAAACATCTTAACAATATCTACAGCAACAAGTACTAATTGTAATGGGGACCATTAATTACAGATGTCCTCTAAAATGCCCCCATAGTCGCAAAGATACATAAGAAAAGGATCGCATTGCCATAGTACAACTACAATGTACATACTAAATTTGAGTGAAATTGAGCAATTTCTAAATTGCAATCAATCAGAATCCTCTGTGTAGTTGCTATGGCAACGGAATGTATGCGATTAAATTTGCAGTCCCCTAAATACCAATTTTCATCGAAATCAAACGATATTTAAATTGCGACCAACCAGAATTCTCCGTGTGGTTGCTATGGTAACGAAACTTATGCGGTTTTATTCGCAATCCCCTAATATCCCAATATACCAATTTTCATAAAAATTGAAAAATATCTAACTTTCGACCAATCAGAAACTTCCATGTCGTTGCTATGGCAACGACACATATATGGTTGCATTTGCAGTCCCCTTATACCCCTCTATAACGATTTTCATCCAAATCGAACAATATCTGAATTTCTATCAATCAGAAGCCTTCTTGTGGTTGCTATATGGTTGCTATGGCAACGAAACATGTGCGGTTGAATTCGCAGTCCAAATTATGGAAATCAAACAATATCTAAATTGCGACCAATCAGAAACCTCTATGTCGTTGTTATGGCAACGAAACATATGTGGTTGCATTTGCAGTCCCCTTATACCCCTCTATAACGATTTTCATCAAAATCGAACAATATCTGAATTTCCATCATTCAGAAGCCTTCTTGTGGTTGCTTTATGGTTGCTATGGCAACGAAACAGATGCGGTTGAATTCGCAGTCCAAATTATGATATTCAAACAATATCTAAAGTGCGACCAATCAGAATTCTCCGTGTGGTTGCTATGGTAACGAAACTTATGCGGTTTTATTCGCAGTCCCCTAATATCCCTATATACCAATTTCATAAAAATCGAACAAAGTTGAAGAAAATCGATAAACATTTGTTATAGTTATTGCACAGAAACAAAACACAGGAGATAATTTCGTTATTCAAGGGGCCATAACTCCGCTCATCGAACTGAACTTGCCAGAGCCCTTAAGGCATTTAACCCTGTGACCAAGTTTGAAGAAAATCGGTTAACATTTGTTGTAGTTATTGCACGGAAACGAAGCGTGACAGACAGACAGACAGACAGAGCAGAACTAAAAAAAGTGGATGGGACTAGATATGGTAGGAAACCAATGGTGACTATGATATACAGTCTATAAAAACACTTCTTGAATACTGTAAATGAAGATATCATCATCGAAGATGCATACATTACTACCAATTGTATTTTTTCTCTTTGAAATTTTTAAAGGAAATGCTTTTTTTTGTTTGTTAAATTGCCTTTAATAATTTGTTTCGTTATAATAAAACAGTTATAGAATGGTCTATTTGTCTCCTTCTGATAGCGCAGATCTGATTTCACTAACACATACACGTATACATGCATACACAACACACAAGGAAACACGTCCTGAAATTACATTTGCTGTTGAAAGGACTTTAAACCCTATAAACAAACCAAAACAATCAAAATTTATCGTTTAAAGGAGAGATTTTGTTATATCACCTTAGAAAGTTTTGGTATGGGCTGAAGATCAATGCAATCTTATAACAAGTGCTTTACTGAAAGTGATTCGTGACATGTTATACAATGTGTTTTGTTCTCACCTTTAATAAATAAGAATGGGTAATGTATGAATGGCCGATCCGGAGACGGGCAAGGACAACTTCGTCTCGTCGGTTTTACAGAGCGCATTGATTCCATTTTTTTGCCATTTTGACCTTACTAAATGAGATGTTAACGGTTACAAATTATGTAAAATGATGTTTAAATCAACAGGTAGCAATGAAGCCGCTTTCTCTGCGCGATCTGTCCTTTCTTTACCTGGTATTCCCACATAGAACACATATGTATTTTAATAGAGGACTATACCTATAAGAGTTTAATTTTCTGTTTTACAAAGATAGGTTAGCCTCTTTCGTTGGTGACTACTTACCTCTCAATTCGGTCCTTACATCATCACGAGGCTCAGCACCAGCACTAGCCTCATCGCGCGCCTCAGCACCAGCACCAGCCCTAGCATTAGCACTAGCACTAGCCCCCATTTCTATTCGGTTTCCTTGTATTCTCCTGGTGTAAACACGTCCAATATGTAAATTCGTTGGTATGAAATTAAATGGTGAGCTCGTTCCTAAAAATAAAGTTTATGATGACGTCATTAGAGCCTCGTTTAAACGTTTTAATCTACCCATAGCCCCAAAAGGAAGTGAGGAATTGAGTTAAAACAAGATTGTATTAATTCATTTGATAACAAATTTCAAATTAACAAAGAACAAGATGCCACTCGTAGATAAAAAAAATCAAACTTGGCCAATTCTAAGCCACTTTTAACTTTCTGTCAGGCAAAGCAGGTCGCTAGGAAACAAATAGGCGAAGGCTATCATGAAGCAAAAAAATAAATAAATATATAGATCTCTAACGTTGCAGAAAGTGATGCAGATTCACTTTATTTTGGGTTCATATTGATAACGACCCATTAATAGCTAAGGTTATTTAAGGTCGTGCCTCCATGTGTGTTGTGTATGTATACATACGTGCATGTGCACCGCAGACAGATTATGTTGGTATACCGTAACACTTTATGAAAGCTGTAATATGTGAATGGTGTCCTAATACAAAGACGCCGTGATAAGGGTGTCCCTTTGCATTAGTATTTTATGTAGCGCGAAGGTCATCATCAAGGCATAGCGTGTCAATTGAAAACACTTCTTACACGATCGCATTAAACTTAGGTAAACACGTGATATTTTCTACGTTGTCTCGTTTTGGGCCTACTTAGATAGTAAAAACAATAAAATTCTTAGATCACAGAGCCGATATCACTTTAAAAGAATCACGCTCAGGTAAGTTTTCGAAATTGGTATATATAGCCTTGTGCAAAAAAGTTGTCTACACCCTAATTTTACTTTGTTATATATTTGCATAGAAACAAACTGGATTATACAGTTGTAAGAACGAGTAAGTATCACAATTCTCATCTTTATGACTTAGCACGGGGTGCAAACGCCTAGACCAAAGCCTAGATAGCAAATATGGGATGCATCACGAACACAGTTTTATTGAATATCAAACATTTTGTATTATTACTGTTATACCTGGATTCTTAACGGCTTTTCATTACAAATGAGGTCAGTAGGGCCAACTTTAAAGGAAACTACATGAATTTAATGTAATTCCTTAACATAATAGTAAGTTAACAGTTCTTTAAACTTTGACTGAAAACAGTTCTTTAAACTATAACTGACAAGTAGGGTATCTGGTATGAAGTGCTGTTAATGTTCTTCATAAAAGCTCGCATCCGTTATTTTCAATTAAAAAGATAATATGAAGATAAAGGAATAGCTATATCCTAAATGGAAATGTTTAAATATGCATGTCTCCAGGTCATGTATAGACTAAGCATTCTGTTGAAAGGGGCTATTTTGTCAAATGACAACCTGGAAATCGAGTCGATACTGAAACTATATATCTCCTAACGAAAGTTTACGTAGTTGATAATGACATGACCTGACGCCAATGTCCAGTGTGGTCAGTTTCATATTTTGGGAAAGCCGGTGATACAAATAGCTACGACCGAAATCGCGCAATATCCGGGGCTTTCAGTGAGAAGTAAACATGTACAGCACTACGCTGTCGACCGACAACACAGTGTCAGTAATGTGTCCTAGTTCACACATAACGCATTCTGGATTTTACATGATACATCGCAAGCAAGAATGATAAGTATCATAATATATACCTCTAATCATTTATTTCTGTTCACAGTTTGATTTGAATAAAAAAGAGCAAGTTCAACTAGAACATGCACGCTCTGAGAGGGTACCGCTTGGAGAATGTCAAACCGCACGAAGTACGATATCAATAGGCTTAAACGCAATATAGATTACTTTTTTATGATGATACTTGTGATATTGATGGAAGATGCTTTTGATTCAGAATAAAAACATGTACTTGTATTCCAACGAGACTACGTGAATAAACCGAGAATTGTCTTTCCTTCCTGGGATGAAAATATGTTCTTTTAGCTTGAAACTCACCGACAGCTGCCGCTAAAACGTACGATTGTACAGTTAAGTATTTCTTCATTACTCATTAAAAACGCAAAGAAAACATAGTCTCTTGTCAATTTCTCGACATGAATGGTTCATAAGGAGTTTTAAACTATATTTTTGTGACAAGATTATAAAAAACACTTCACTGAAGTGTCCCTTTAAAAAAGTGATTGGCGATACATAATCTATATTGAATTACTTGCGGAATGCGGATTACTTTGAACCAAAACCTGGCACATACTTAAATGACATAGCTGTTTATAGGACGTAAAACACGAACAAACAAACGGGTTACTTTGAAAGAAATTCGTTTTAGCTATATATATTGACTTTTTTTACGTTTTAAACTAGGCCGACATGCCTAAGAAGTAGGCCGAAATGCCTTAGAAGTCAGCCCTGTCTGTCGGGGAATGAGAAAATAATACACCTGCCATTACCCACTGCATGATCCGGGGAGAGAATAGGCCTGTTGTATCCCAATGCATGATAGTAAGAGGCGACTAATGTTGACCACCCTGCAGAGTCGGGGATGGTTTCCTCCTTGTCTTCTATTTAGGGGACATTGAAGAAATCATGATTAGACCTAATGTGTCCCGCTGCACGTGAATTATAAAAGGCGATGTATTCTGTGTGTGGCAGGATTGAAGGCATTTAAGGTAATGGCAACAACTGGTTCACCCGTTGTCAGTATAATGTGAAATGTGACTTTTTATAATGAAGTCGGCATCACAAAGAGGAAAATACACAAACATTCCCTGTTTCTGGCACACATACACAAACAATTACAGTTATAATTAACGTCCACCTTTTTTTTATGTCCCTGACATATATACAGCGTAATTTAAACAATATGCATTCATCGGTGACGCTTGATCAGCAGTTACCAGCTATCTATTAAAGGACTGACATACAAGGCAACTCCAGTATATATGTAGATATGATACAAATGAAATTATTTGTCTTTTGTGTTTTACTCAAGAGGTAGTTTTTTGCCCATACCAATTACAAGGTTTATCTTGCCTTTAGATTACAGGGATATCGACATCGATTATTTTATTGTCAAATCATGTACATATAGAGGCTATTAGTTATCACATCTTCTTATCACTTTCATTCATTATATAAATTTAACATGGCATTGAACAAGGAATGTTTGATAAATAAACTAGTTTATATGTGGCGGTTTCATTGTTTATACGATTACAAACTGTAACTATAGCATGTGTATATGTAATTGTTGTGCTGTTGCTCGAGGTTTTTGTGAGAATAAAATGAATCTTGAAAAAATACTCTCAGTCAATGTAAAAGACCGGGCTACAATCTTACCTGTAATTAAAGGGACATCACGATGACGTGTATGTATATTTTATTTTCAAATACTACATAAACATATCAAGTGAGACTCCTTATGAAAAAACAACGATCGGATTTGGCTGATATAAATTCACAAAAATGAATAAGTTAAAGATATTCATCGGGATTTCTACTTTTCTGATCAACGTTTTGTTCAGGGATTTCCCTCTACTAGCGCACCATTATTTGAAACAAAATGACTGACCGTGTGAAGTAAGCGAAAGATAATCGTTGTACCGCGTCAGCTACGAAGCAAAAAAGTTGCCAAATGTTCAAAAAGATAGCGCAATGAGTACGTTACGGAATCATTATTACAGGTGGGAAGTATTCAAAGGAGAAAATAACTGCCCTAGCAGTTAGTACGGTGCATGTATTCTTCCGGATAGCCGGTTAAAAGCTGAAATGGAATCGACAGAAATGCTAGTGCTGTTTATGTAATGAATAACTATTTTAAACTATTAATCTCGGTAGTATCTTTGTCTGAGTTTGAACACAGATGAACTTATTTAACTGTCTTGATGGCCACGGCGTATTCTGTTCTCTCCTCTGTCGGTACTCGGGGTCAAATGAGATACGTGCGCTATTAGATTTACATAGTTTATAATATTCCGTTAAGTAAAAATGGTATGATTTAATTATATTGCTGAATTAAACGATTTTTTGTATTTACATTTAGATAAGTACAAATATTAATACCCGGCCTCCTCTGCCGTGACGACGCAATATATAAAAAAAATCTCTCGTCGTCAGAAAGCTTCGTTATCGCAGCTAGATATAAATATGTCAAAATGACGGGCCAGGATGAATAACTGAGGAAGGAGAACAACTAGGATCGCATAACAAAACATATTTTTCAATCGTAATGTTTCAACAGTTCATGTTTTCACATAATGTTGACTTAGAATGAATGAACATGCAACAACTTTTTCTCCATAAATAATTAGTTTTCGACTTCAGATAGAATCGGGATACGCATTGAAAACGGGGAAAAACCTTTGTTTACGTTGTAAAATTACACGTGCTGACAATAACTACGGCTTCTGTTTCGGACAAAAAAGAACTGATTAAAGAAAAGTTGTCTCAATATCAAAAGGGTCCATTTACAAGTATGCTTTAATCTATGTAAAGTATTGAAAACACATAATTATCAATTATCTCAACACGTTCCATATCTGACACATATTCTACATGTACACGTAGTACGTGGTTTTGCCATACTGTTTAGCCATGACTTACTAAGTGTTAGCGTATGGTGACAGTGAAAGTGGGAAAGAGAGTATACATAAATATATATATACATGGTCTATATTGGCAATAGATATTTTAAAAGTTAAATAAATTTAAATTCTGAAAATTGGCAAGTGTGTTAATACATATTTATATACATGTATATCTACTTCATGTGTATGCCTATTATCATTGTTGACATTTAATTATAAATTTATGACGGGAGAAGGCTGTGATTAGTTGTAAAAACTTGTGTCTAATCCCTTTTTTTATTTTATAGGCAATAAATATGTTTAAAGTTAAATAAATTTAAATTCTGAATATTGGAAAGGTTGCAATTAACTTCTTCTGATGAATACTTAATGATTCGGTTTCATAATGCGTTCAGAAGCTGCAGTTGCCTTGCGGGGGACCCACTTTGGGGGCCCCTTTGGAAACGTTTTATC